GAATTTGATCTTTTGCCATCAGGGTTTTTTTTTTGGTGGGGGGGGACAGAGTCTCACTTTGTCATCCTCCGTTGAGTGCCATGGTGTCATACCTCACAGCAACCTCAAACTCTTGGGCTCAAGCAATTCTCTTGCTTCAGCCTCACCAGTAGCTGGGAATACAGGTGCCTGCCACAATGCCCAGCTATTTTTTAGAGACGAGGTCTCACTCTGGCTTGGGCTGGTCTTGAATATGTAAGCTCAGGCAATCCACGCCCCTTGGCCTTCCAGAGTGCTGGGATTACAGGCATGAGCCATCACACCCAGTTGAGAGTAAGTCTTTAAGATGGAAACCCTGGCTGAGAGCGATGGTTCAGGCCAGTAATCCTAGCACTCTGGGAAGGCTGAGGCAGATTGATTGCTTGAGCTCAGGAGTTCAAGACTAGCCTGAGCAAGAGTAAGACCCCTATCTCTACTAAAAATAGAAAAACTAGTCAGGCATAGTGGTATATGCCTATCGGGCCAGCTACTTGGGAGGCTGAGGCAAGAGGATCACTCAATCCCAAGAGTTTGAGGTTGCTGTGAGCTACTATAACATCAAGGCACTGAACCCAGGGAGACAGTAAGACTCTGTGTAAAAAAAAAAAAAAGAAAGAAAGAAAAAAAGACTTACTTTCTTTATATGGTTCATTAGTCTTCCAGGTCAGCCTCTTCCTTTTTAGTTTCCTGAATGTATAAGCTTCCTCAGACCTGTTCCTTCTGTGGAATTCCCTCCCCTCACTGCTCTGCTTGGTTAACTATTCATCTTGGAAATCTCCACTCTGAGGCCACCTCCTCTGCTAAACCTCTTGTCTCATGTTAGCGGTTATCATGTTGCGCTCAACGTGATAGGTTTGCATGCCTCTATTAGACAATGGTTTGTGTGCCTCTATTAGACTAAGTGTCATGAAGCCACAAGCTACTTTATCAGCTTTTGTCTTATCTAGTGCTTAATATAAGGAACTTTGCATAAAGTAGATGCTCAAATATTGCTGGTTACATCTTGGCAGGCTACAGTTAGTTAACAAATAACTCCTTATCTATCCAGCAGCCACAATTCAAACATACTTTGAACAAATTCTATGCCCTTTAAGCATAGGCAACCAGAATCTACTTACTTTTACTGTACATCCCATCCTAGCACTGTGGTTTTCCAGTGCAGATTAGGAAAGAGAGGCACTTCCTAAATAGGCCCCTGGTAATAGCAGAAAGTGGCTCTTGATGGCCTGTCCTATGCATAAATGAAGGGCATCTGCATGGCTTACAGGCCTACCTTCTGGTAGGGGCCTGCTTCCTGCAGCTCCCTTCTATAGTTCTTAGCTTAACACTGTTTCGGATTTTAAAGAAACAAGCAGACTTGCTGGCTTCCCTTGGTTTCTTCCTAGCTGAAGGGATGGGGGGGGGGGACTCAGAGCCCCTTGTTTCCCTCAGGAAAGGATGACCTCCTCTATTGGGCTCCTCTTTCTTTCCTTGGTGGCAGCAGCAGTCTTGGGTTGGATTTGTTTTTTTCAAGAAGCAAAGTGTACAGTCCACAGTGAATTTTTTCCCTGACACACGCTGGCTAAAATAGTGGCTCTTCACCTTGATCATGAGTCACAATCATTTGAGGGCTTGTTGAGCCAGAAATTGTTGGGTTCCACCCAGAGTTTCTGATTCAATAGGTCTGGCTTGGGGACTGGACAACTGGCGTCTGTAAAAAGTTCCAGGTGCTGCTGCTGGTAGTCTGGCCTAAACAATAGTCCTCTAGCAAGACCACAATGAAAAGCTCTGTCAAATGGGAGAATATAGACATTTCATCCTTGATCAGGCAATTTTTGCTTCATTTACAGAGGCGGCTGTATTTGTTTCCCCAATGAAGCCTTTGTGTCTTGATAATTTCCACTTGTGGAACCAGTTGAACTAGATATTTACTATCAGACATTCATTTAGAAAAATAAACACTGTTACTCACTATGAAAAAACAGAAGATGCTGGCATTCTGAATTCCCTGCAAGGGCTGTTCCCCAAAACCTGCTCCCTTGTGACTCTGTGTCACTGACTCAAATGTAGACCAAAAGCACCATGAGCAAACCATCACCAGAACACAGCAGAGCTTTGTTCCCTGCTGTCACTAACTCTCACCCCTAAGAAACCGTTTATGGTAGATATCAGAATTTCACAGTAAATCATTGGGAGTAGTTGCCAAGGCATCACATTATTAATATAAATCACTTTCAAAATTAATAACCTATTGACAGGCCCTGGAGTTAAATTATTAAGATTGTATGTATTGAAAAAATCTTAGCAGCTTGGTGCCTATGGCTCAAGTGGCTAAGGCGCCAGCTACATACACCTAAGGTGGCGAGTTTGAATCCAGCCCAGGTCCGCCAAACAACAATGATGGCTGCTACCACCCCCACCCCCCCAAAATAGCCAGGCATTGTGGCAGGTGCCTGTGGTCCCAGCAACTTGGGAGGCAGAGGCAGGAGAATCGCTTGAGTCCAGGAGTTGGAGGTTGCTGTGAGCTATGCCACAGCACCCTACCCAGGGGGACAGCTTGAGGTTCTGTCTCAAAAAAAAAAAAAAAGAAAAGAAAAAGAAAAAATCTTAGCAATGGGGAGAGTTCATAAAAACAGGAAATTTTTAATACATTCACAAGAAACCAACCCTCGTGTCTTGGTGGAATATATCTTGCATCCTCCACCACCACACATTGGTGACTGCCCAGAGACAGGGTGGCTAGAGCAGAAAGATTCAAAGTGCTTAACTTTAGTCTGGGTGTGATGTCTCATGCCTGTAATCCCAGAACTCTGGGAGGCTCAGGTGGCAGGATTGCCTGGGCTTGCAGGTTTGAGACCAACCTGAGCCACAGCGAGACCCCATCTTTAAAAATAGCCGGGCGTTGTGGCGGATGCCTGTAGTTCCAGCTACTTGGGAGGCTGAGGCAAGAGAATCACTTGAGCCCAGTGGGATGCTGCGAGGTATGACGCCATAGCACTCTACCAAGGGTGACAAAGTGAGACTATGTTCCAAAATAAATAAATAAATAAAAGAATTTTGACCTTGTGGATCCCCTTCAAGAGGGAGATCACACTTTGAGAATCACTGGCATAGAAAATAATTTTTTTTTAAAACACCAGAGTTGGCTCAGGGCCTGTGGCTCAAGCGGTGAAGGCACCAGACACATATACCTGAAATGGCGGGTTCAAATCCAGCTCCCGCTCACCAAACAACAATGATGGCTGCAACCAAAAAATAGCTGGGCATTGTGGCAGGCGCCTGTAGCCCCAGCTACTTGGGAGGCTGAGGCAAGAGAATTGCTTAAGCCCAGGAGCTGGAGGTTGCTGTGAGCTGTGATGCCATAGCACTCTACCCAGGGCAACAGCTTGAGGCTCTGTCTCAAAAAACAAACAAAACAAAACAAAACAAAACAAAATGACCAGAGTTGATGAGTATGGATATATTTTCACCTAAACTTTTGGGAAGCTTAAAATCTTGAGTACATGGTTGAATGGTGGGTGTAGCACTGTGAGATACTGGGAAGTTAACTGGTGTGGTTTTCTTCTGTGGGAAATGTCCACCCCTCCTCCCTACTCCTAGGTGGCTCAATCACACTGGGTGTGCTCCAGGTCTCGGTAATTTTGACCCTAGGAGAAAATCTTCTAGCCGGTTCTGGGAGACAGGGGAACTGACTGGCTGTCAAGAAAGAAGACATAGATGTTGGGACAAAGATGAGAGAAACAGAGAGGTTTGGCCTCAGAGGGACAAGGCTGGACTTCCTGAGGACTAGGAGAGGAGGTGGGGCTTACAGTTTTCTGCCTATGATGGAGATCTCTGGAGACTTGCAGTGACTGTGTGGCTGAAGTCAGACAGTTGGTGCATAGGACATTAGAGCACCAGCTAGGGTCCCTTTGGGCAGTCAGGCCCAGGAAGAGGGCAGCCCCTGGGGAGCGCTAATCTTTGGGTATTATCCATGAATTTCTGCCCTGGGTCTTTTCTGCCATTGTCCTGACCTGGAATCCTAGAACCTCCTAAGAGAGATTGGGGGGTGAGAGGAGGAAGAAAGTTAGCTTTCTCTAGAAATCATGGGAACCAGATTAGGTTTCATTTAGAAACTACCGGATAGTTGCAGAAACAAAGTATTTACAAGCAGATCTGAGATCATCCTGCCTGAATTTGCTTCCTAGCTCCGCGGCGGGCTGGAATGGGGTTGCTAACATTAATAGAATCCACCTCACAGCATCTCCACTGAGCACACTAACTTTGAGATGCATGGCAGTTCTTTCAAACAGCGCCTGGCACATGTATGTGTCACATCTCCTGCACCTTGGGTGTACTGGGGATGTCAAAGCTGCCACACTGCATCCTCTGAGGGCTGAGATGGCTCAGTTTGACTATGCCTAAGCCTCCATATGGAAGGCTAGATTAACCCGTAACGCCGATGTCTAGGGGAGAGAGTGCAGGAACATTTTCAAAAGAAATAGTGCAAGTGCGATTCTCTACCAAGAAGTGCGCGGTGCAGGCTGTGTGTGAGGGTCCCAGAGCCTGCCCCTGCAGCCCAGCGACTGCAGCGAGTAGGCTCAAACGAACCCCTCCCAGCTTCGGAGGGACCAAGGGCCTTTCTCAGGTTTGAGCACCGGAGCCCCATGCGGTACAGCCAAATCGGTGCAAACTCTCTAGGGGTCTAATGGGATCTGGGTCCTCCTGGGTTTCTCCTTAGGAATTTTTGCCTAAGGATCAGTGGTCCCCAGGGGCAGCCCTGTCCTCGGTTTTGTTTGCACAATCCGGGGCGCTTGCGAGTCTGAGCCAGGAGATGGGCATGGGCGACCTTCAATGCCCCAGCCACCTGCCGGCGCAGGGGAGTCTGGAGGCCAAGGCACGGTCCCCACCTCCCTGCCCCACCGCGCCCCACCCCAGACCCCTCCTTCCACAGGGGGCGTGGCCCCAGGGGCGGAGCCGGGGAGGGGTCTGCTGGCGAGTCACGTCCCACAGGCGGGGCCGAGCGCCGAGGCCAGCTGGGGAGGCGCCACATCCGGCGGCTGCCCTGTACTTCATAAAGCGGCCGCCGCGGTTTGCTTCGGTTCCAGTCCTGGGCTTTTCTCGACTGCTGGAGCAGCTGCTCCAATGTCCCAGAGCGGCCATGAGCGCCCCGCACTGGTGGGACCAGCTGCGGGCTGGCAGCTCAGAGGTGGACTGGTGCGAGGACAACTACACCATCGTGCCTGCCATCGCCGAGTTCTACAACACGGTGCGGGTCGCGGGAGCCGGGAGGCAGGCGGGCCTGCGGGAGGGGGCTGTCCCCGGGCGCCGCAGCGCCTGGGAGCTGGACGTGGGTCTCTGCGTGTATCTGGGCGTTCTCTCCAGCGGCACACGCCTCCTCTTCTGCGCGCCCCTTCTGGTTCTCCTGTCCTCTTCTCTTGTCTCTATTCCCGACAGCTGGGCTTATCCTCTCCTCCTGTCATTTTGTTCTCATGGCCCTATTGTTTTGTTTGGTCCCCACCGGTCCCGGAACCGGGCGTCCTTGTCAGCCCATTCTCCTGGCTTGGATTAGTTGGGGATGGGGAACCTGCCGGGACACCTCTCTTCCTACCCTAGGATCGCTGTGGTGTGACGCACTTGGGTCGCATTGTGCGTTTTTGCCCTGAGTATCTGCTCTCTGAATACCGAGAAAGGGGAAGCCCCTTCACCCGGCGCAGGTCTCTAGGGTAGCCAGGCGGCCGAGGCCCACTCCTTCCAAGCCGACTTGCCCCACCTCCAAGAATATGCCAGTAATGGTCGAATTCTTTTTGGCCAGAATCACGTTAGCTACTACTAGTTTTTTCCCCTTACTTTTAGTGTTCAATCTTGCCAGCCCCTAATCCAACTCCCCGAGCCTGTGCTCTGTCCAGTTTGTAAGCCTGAGGGGTGAAAGGGAAGTCTGGGAGTGATAATGTACGGGTCTGGGGACCTGCCTGGGTCCCTCAGTACAGGCAAGCAGAAACTTCCCCATTGCACAGTCCTCTGTGTTCTAGTCTTGATGAGAGAGAAAGGTTGCAGTTGGGAGAGGAAACGTCTCATTTTTTCAATATGTCCATGGCTCAGGATTCTGGTACTGAACGTAAGACTGCATGGTCCTTTCAGTGGCTTGTTTTCCCTGCCCAAACACAGAAAATAGGACTCCTGGTTTGACTCATTGTGAATTTGAGGTTGTTACTTAGGATTTTTTCTCTGGATTTGCTAGAGAGTTAGTGTTTATTGCCTGCAGCGATCTCAGGTGATCTAGCCCCTGTCCTTTTATCTGATGAGAACCCTGGGCACTTGAGAAGGGAGCTGTCATGCCAACATTTTGGGCATGGCTGGGGCCACAATCCAGAAGTCTGGACTCTCCCTCCCCTGAGTGCTGCAATCCATGGCTTCCCTCCACACAAACCCTCCTATTTCTTTTTCATGACTAGGTTCCTCAAGAACACCTGGTCCTCTGCTCTTGGTAGATACTGTGAAAGATGCAGTTAGTGGCGGTGGCCACAACTTAGTTATAACTCTAGTTATAGACTCGGGGAGCATGCTGTCAGGCACACACAGGTGCACACAGGATGGGCTCCAGCCTGTGGGGTACTTTCAACAGGGAGAAACAGCAGTAACTCATTTGCTCCATTTGTAAATGGAGAATACTGCAAAACCACTAAAGATTTCACCAGAGATCAATAAGAAATGATAGTTTGGTGATAGGTTTTCCCATGCCTTGCATGATAATGATCTGTGGAGTCTAAAGTTTCCAAAGGGGGTCAGGCCTGGTTATTTGGGCTGCGAGGGTAATGTACAGCTGGGTGAAGCCTCCCTTGAAAAAGCCTCAGAGTGCTGGGTGATGGGGAGAGTTTGTCTTTACTTCTAATTTAGTCCCATTGGAACTGTAACTCTCTGTAGTGAGTGCCAAAGTCTTTTTTTTTTAAGAAATGAACTGTTGATCTTTGTGCCTGTGCCTGATTAGTCCATCTGCCAAACTTTATTCCTTGGAATACTCGTAAATTACAGGATATGCTCTGATAAAGCAGAAACCTTAAGATCTTCGACAAGTAGTTGGTCGCCTTATGTTGAGTGTAGGTCCAAATAATTTAGCAAAAACCATTTCCTCCCCTCTGTTCCCATGGTCTTCCTTATCTTTTGATGCTTATCACAGAACATACTTGTGCTTATCTCTCTCCTGTATTGGGAAAGGTGGTGAACTGTTACTTGATGATAAACATCTCTTTAAAACTTCATAGGGCAGTCGGTATAATTATCCATTTGTTTTGTTTGTTTAGCAGGTCTCAGCCTGTGAGACAGTTATCCATTTTATAAGAAACTAATAATCATTGCCAATTTTAAGAAAAACACTGAAAGAATTGACAGTGTTAAATCAAGAGAAGACTGGGAGGAGGATTTAGAATCTTCTTTTTCTTTCTTTCAGACCTTTCAGTGTGGCAAGGTCTCACTCTGTCTCTAAGGCTGGAGTGCAGTGGCATGATCATAGCTTACTGTAGACTTGAACTTCTGGGTTCCAGTGATCCTACTGCCTTGGCCTTCTGAACTGCTGGGGTTACATGTGTGAGTTATTGTGCCTAGTCTGTTATCTCCTTGATGGGTCTTGGGAGAGCACGTCACTATCACAATTTCCACCATTAATTGTTTGCTATGTGTTGAAGTTTTGCTGGGTACTCTATACTCACCGTGGGCAGTAGGTACTATAAATTATATTCATTTGATAACGGAAGAATTTGAGGCCTAGATAGTTTATGTAACTTGCTGAGGTCATGAGAATGGCTGAGCTGGAGTCAGAATTTGACTTGGTCCAATCCACTCAACCAGGAGAGTTCTCTTGAAGATGTACATGCCACTGCAACTAGATTTATTTATTTGGTGTAATACGGGTATTTATTATTTGTCATTTTTTAAATTTAAAACTCTTATATTGGGACCATTTTGTGATTAGGATAAAACTCATGATGTTTAGGCTGACTATGGTGGCAGATGCCTGTAAACCTAGCACTCTGGGAGGCGGAGGCCCATGGATTGCTTGAGCTCAGGAGTTTGAGACCAGCCTAAGTAAGAATGAAAACCTGTCTCTAAAAAAATAGCTGGTCATTGTGGTGGGCACCTGTAGTCCCAGCTACTTGGGAGGCTGAGCCAAGAGAATGACTTGAGCCCAAGAGTTTGAGGTTGCTGTGAGCTATGACTCTACCAAGGGTGACAAAATGAGACTCTGTCTCAAAAAAGAAAAAAAAAAACTCATGATGTTTGATATGAAAAAAAAATTTGTTTTGCTTTTAAAAATTGTTATTATAGGGCTCGGCGCCTATAGCTCAACCGGCTAAGGCGCCAGCCACGTACACCTAAGGTGGTGGGTTCAAATCCCCAGCCCGGACCCGCCAAACAACAATGACGGCTGCAACCAAAAAATAGCCGGGCGTTGTGGCGGGCGCCTGTGGTCCTAGCTACTTGGGAGGCGGAGGCAGGAGACTCGCTTGAGCCCAGGAGTTGGAGGTTGCTGTGAGCTGTAATGCCACGGCACTCTACCCAGGGGGACAGCTTGAGGCTCTGTCAAAAAAAAAAAAAAAATTGTTATTATAGAAGTAATAATAGAATCATGATAAAATATTTAGAGTATGGGACTTATAAAGTAAAAAATATTCTTTCTTTTGTATTTTTCCAGATATTTTCCAGGTATGCAGAAAGCACATGTATTCGTGTGTGCATATATGTGTATGTATAGTGCATTCACACTCTTAAGCTTTTTTCCGACTTAATTGAGAACATACACAAACTCTTAAGCATCTTTCATTTTTCATTTAATGCGTCTTGGTGACAGTCCCATATAGACTCATACTGAGCCTACTCCCTCTTTACAATTTCCATGCAGTATTCAGTTTATGGATTGACCATAGTTTATTTAATAGTCAATCCCTATTGATGGACATTTAGGGCAGTTTTTCTTAGTTTTATTGTTTTTGTTTTTGAACAGTGCCTCAGTGAATATTCATTCATCAGGATACACTTTTGCAAACACTTATCCTAGATAGGGAACTGCTGTGTCAAAAAGAATATCCCCATTAAATGCTGGTAGTTGCTGTGAAATGGCCCCCTAAAGAGAGTGCACTGATTCAACTCCCCCTGACAGTGTTCGGATGTGCAAAGCATTTTGTTCTTGGGTTCTGCAACTCTCTATTGCCTCAAATCTTATCATCCTTTGCTCCAGCCAAACCCAATTATTTCTTCCAAGAACATGTCTTTTCTTTCCACAGCCTTTTACTTGGGTACATTTTGTACTTTTCTTTTACATACAAATTTTATTGAATGGAGTTCCTTTTCGCGTTTTAAGTCTCAAGCCACTTTGGAGAAAAGTTGCATCTGCCTTTTAACCAACTAGGCTTGGCCTTTGGGGAACCTGCTGCTGGGCAGTGACTCTGGGGCAAAAGGAAATCAATTGGTGCTAAAAAGTCTTGAAGCAAAATCCATGCATAAGATCAGCCTATGATTGTTACTTCCTCTGTCTCCAGTCATCAATATAAGGAGAGCAGAACTCTCCCTAAATGCTAGATCCTCATTCCCAATATCTGTAGGGCAGAATCAATGAATTTCTCCATCATTTCTACCTCCCTATTCGATTTATCTGAGCATTTACTGGGCAATTACTACAGAGTGTGCCTATTACAGAGACCAGATTTGTAAGATGAGGGCTGTGATACAGGAGTATACACGTTGCCAAGGGTATTATTAATACTCTGCATGGGATTAGTGTATTGTGAGGGTAGGATGGTGATTTTTGCATGAAGGATTCTGAGTAGTGTGACCAATCTCCTCTTAGGTTTTTGCATGAGATTTTTCTGATTTTTTTTTTGTTTGTTTAAGACAAAGTCTTACTCTGTGGCCTCAGGCTTGAGTACTCTGGGCTCAGCCTAGCTCACAGCAAACTCAAAATCAAGTGTCCTCTTGCCTTAGCCTCCCAAGTAGCTGGGAGTATAGGCACCCACCACCACTCTTGGCTAATTTTTCTGTTTTTAGTAGAGATGGGGTCTTGCTCTTGCTCAGGCTGGTGTCAAACTCCTGAGCTCAAGCAATCCACCTGCCTCACCCTCCCAGAGTGCTAGATAGGATTGCAGGTGTGAGCCACCATAGTAGGCAAATTAGGACAGTTGGCCATCCCAGAGACGGGACTGGAACAATGGAATGGACAGCTAAGAAGTGGCATACAGTAGAACTGCAGTCTCCTTATCCACGGTAAAGGTCCTTAGC